AGCCAGGAATGCCAAGAGCGATGCAGAAGCGCAGGCGTTGTAGACGATCTTGGTAACGCGAGACGATCGGAGCACCGGGCCGAGCACCCGCACAATGATCGATGCTGGGATCTCGGCGCAGTCGAGGACTAGCGTGTGGCCTGAAAAGGCCAGCACAAGGAGCGCTTGGGGCAATGCGCCGTAGGCATGCAGCGCCAAGACACGTGGCTGCGTCGGATCGTGCAAGATCGCGTGTGTCGCGGCGGCTGCCCGGAGCTGGTTCTCTGTTGCGATGACTGTGGTCACATATTTGCTGAGCAGGGACGACGTTGGTCTCGAAGGCGGTGGAGACTTGTGGCCTAAATCAACCGTTAGCTACACCGTAGCAGGTACAATTTACGATCAACACCTGACAAAGTCGCCTTGGGCGTTGGAGACGGTGGCGCTGGCTTGCTCTGTCGACGGTACGCACAGTTCCCGTCGTCGTCAGCGACAGAAATGATACTGGGCATGGCTTCCAGCGTTGCTGCGACGGCGTTCACTGCGTCTTCAAGATCCAAATCGTCGAGCTCCAAGAGACGTAACTCGCGCATGAGCCGCGCTGTGTTGTACGACTCTCCCGACTCGATTTGCTTCACGACCTGCTGCACGTAGGCCGCAATGATGCGGCGTGAGTTGATCTCGGACGAGGCTCTGGGGCTTGCCGCGATTGGCAACGACACTACCGTATCTTCTGCCTCGGGCTCGGATGCGTCATCGTCGTTGCTATCTATTCATTTGACGTATTTGTTTCGACTGTTTGTTTCAACCTCCAGGATGTACGTACCTGCCGACGACGCGGTCGAGCGAGGCGGCGTGGCATCCATGCGGTCGTCGGGCGGAGGAAAGCCGTTGCCAAGAAAGCACGGCCGGTCCGAGTTATGAAAGACAAGCTGCGGATGCTGTGTCAACGAAGCAACGATTGCGGCGACAGCAGCGTCCATGGGCGCGTCCGGCGGCAAGAGTGACCGCACTTGGCTGCGAATGTACGAGACGAAAAAGGGGTCCCCACCCTCGACCCACTCGAGAATCGCACCGAGGTACGTGGCAGCGTGCAGCGCAACAACGGATGCGGCGCTGGTGTCGTTGCTGGTACGAGCTGTGAGGGGCTTTGGCGACGATGTCATGGTGGCTCGTGCAAGGCTGGCTTCGGCAGCCACTGTCGTCGGCGACGCATGCTCGGTCGTGGTGGCGACCAAAACCTGGCTTGCTGCGTGGATGTCGTGGTTGTTTCCCGCCTTTTGCTCGAGACGTTCGGCGGTGGGATTTGTCAACGCCGGTACCTCCTCCATCGAAAAGAGGTAGCTCATGCCCGGGAACGACGCCAGCGGCCGCTGCAGAAGGGCGGGGTCGAAGCCCATGAGCCGGGTACCGTTGGCATCTGTCCACTCTTTCATGCAGCCCAGTGCTCGCAGCGCGTCCAGAGCGACTTGCGTCGTCCCATCCGCGTGGGTGCACGTGCCGGGTAGTTTCGCAGTCGCTCGCGGCGTGATTGCAATTTGGTGGACGTAATGCTGTATAATCGCTCGTCCTTTTGGCACAGTCTTCTTGGGCATCTGTGGTGGCAAAAGTACTCCTTCGGTCGCCGCCACCAGGTACGCGTCTCTGCGTTGCAAGCTGCAATCTTGGAGGACGTTTTGCAGGACGCGCGCGGCCGCCGTTGGAATGTCGTCCACGTAGCCGGCTTTGGCCAGAGTGGCCTCGATTTTCGACAGCTTGTACTGCTTGGATGTCGACTGGATTGCGTGTTGCGCGCCAAAATGCACCCACACGGTCAAATGCTCGAGGAACGCGTCAAACAGTGAGCGCTCCGACGGCCTTGGCGCAGCATCTGCGGCAGCCGGGGTGTCGATGCGTGGGATCGGACGCATTACCGGCGGCATCACGTGGAGAAAGCCACCAAACGCAGATGCAGGGCCAGAGAGACACGCCGGGTTGATCGTAAGGCACTTACCGCCGCCAGCAAGTGTCTTCTCGACAACGCACCCGAGACCCAAAAGGCCTTGCAAAACCGTTCTCACAGCACAAAACGCGTCGACCGAGCATCGAGCGGCCGCCTTTGTAACGTGGGCCGCGATCGTCTCGTGGGCCACGGGTTGCGACGCGATCTGCACACCATAGCGTCGGACGAGCATGACGCTTACGACAGTCCAGTCGGTACTCGGTTCATTGGTCGGTGCAACGTCGGCGAGCGTAAAGCTCCCAGTGTCCAAGAGAAAGGCCTTGCGGGTCGCGTCGAGAGAGAGGTGTGGCTGGGCGTCCAGCATCCGTAGCACGACGGTAGTTGCCGCCTCGATGTCGGTGACGTAGCTTGTTTGCGCGAGCATGTCTGAGAGCTTAGCCACGTCGTAAGTAAATTGCTGCTTCCGTGCGGCTCGACCCATCGCAGCGAGCACTCGCGACGCCGTGTGCTCGAGCAAGGCGTCGTACAGTGTTCGTTCTGTTGTCGTTTTCGGAGATGGGAGTGGTTGGGCCACAGATTTCGTAGCAGGTGCGTGAGCGACCGTCGTACTGGCGTCGGCTTCGTTGGCGTCGCTGATCGGCTCTTCGCAGCTGGGTTCGTTCCCCATCTCTTCTCAACTCTAAAAATCACAAGCCAACGAGTGTCGATGCCTTTCTATCTTTACCCAGCAAACATGGATCGCGTTTTATTTTGGGCTTGCTGGTGGAACACGGTTTGAACCAGAAATCCATCGCCTCGGCATCACTTTCTTTGCTCTGCAGCTAGTGCACCAGCCCGTCTACAGACTTTGGTCGCACGGCGAGGTCGAGGCGTCGATGTCGTTCCAGCAATAACCTTTAGAAAACGTCTGCGTATCGGCTTGGGCGCACAAGTTGTTGGTGGTCGTCGCGTGCGTGGTTGGACGTTGGCATAGGTGTTCGACAAGGTCGCCAGCCCAGCGGTCACGGCACGCGTGGCGTTCTTGTTGCGCCAAAGCACGATCGATGAGATAAACGGGAGCATGATGTATTATTTTTTACTTTGGCCGAGGCAGTCGGCAGCTTCAAACGACTTGTTGTCGTCTTCCGACGATGCACCGCACTCGTCGCAACCGGGAACCACCAGCAGAATTCATTTTTGCTCCGTTTGATTTGCCATGTCATTTTGTATTTTGGTCCAATCACACGCAACTGCAAGCCGGCCACCACGCCGTCGAGCTGCTCGATCCGCCAAATCGCGTTGGAAAATGAAGTCGCCCAAACATGGCAACGTGATAGAGGACACTTCGGAGGTCGCGAAATGCTACTCTGCGTCGTCGTACGAGGCGGATGACGACAATTGTGTGCAATCGAATGCTGTTTGCGGCATATGCCACGGATAAAGCCAACCGCCACATTCAATCGGACCGAGTGCATAAACGCCGAGCGCTTCGAGCTTATCGGACATTCCTCATCAATGATGTCGGATGTATGTACATATATGATGTGCATGGCGGTGTGGCAGGCCGTCCCGCTGCATTTTGTGCCAATTTTCAAAGTCTGCGAACACGGTCGAGTAGCAAATGCGAAAAGACGCTACACTAGGACGCGACGCACCCAGAAATGCTGGCAGATTTCTGCTCCAACACGCGAAGCAGGTCATTGCAGCCAAGGGCGTGCTAGTCGCACGACTGCGACGCCTGCCGAGCCACCAGCTCCGTCGCCTCCTCGAGGTGCTGTAGGTTTGACGTCTTCGATGCGAAGCATTCGGGTCCATTGGACGGACTTTCCCATTTCTGCTGCATAGTGATGATCGTCGTCAACGCGGCGAGTACGGTACCTTTCCAGCAGCTCATGTTATGCGTTAATTATGCGTTGGTAGCGGGCTTGATGCAGATGAATGCGAGGCCAGCAATCCGATGCAGGACGACGCCCATGCTATCAGCTTCGTGTCCCGCAGTACATCAAAAGAGCCCTCGTCAAGAACCCGACGATCTCGATGCGAAGCAGCGATGGAGCGTCGCTATGTCGTCGCTATGTTGAAGTGGATCAAGTGTCACTAGACTCGTGAGGGCGTACTTAATCGAATATGATGGTAAGTGCGCAGGTGGGCAAATCCATGCGCACTTATGCGGGACGCGGCGCTCGGGTGTTTTGGCAGCGGCGAGAAATGACCGAACAATTGCAAATTTATCAGTGGCCCTGGGCGGACGGGCATGAGCGAGAAGGACGCCGAGGTGATGTCGATGGATGGCGACGACGTGGAAGAGGACCTCGACGAGATGTTCGGCTCCGACATGTCGTCGGGCTCGGACTCGGACGCGCCGCTGAAGCCGCCGCCGGCCAAGGCCGAGAAGCCCAAGGCGGCCAAGCTCCTGCCCGACTCGTCCGTGACAGCGACCGTGCCCGCGACCGACGACGAGGCCTCGGAAGACAACGAGCACGAGATGGCACCGTGGGAGCAGATCGACTTGAAGCCGGCCATGGACCTGGTGCGTATCTTCTTGAAGCGGCGTGGTCGCTCATGATGCGCGCGGTAGATCCGGTCCCTCACCGACACGAGCCTCGAGGCCGCGCGGGACTTTACCGCATCCATGGTGGCCAACACGAACCAGCTCGTCGTCGGCTGCGACAGCGTGCTCCTGGAGATCAAGCACATCTCGGACATTCGCGAGACAATGAAGCGACAGGCCAAGGCGACGCCCGCGAGCACGGCGGCTACCGGCGTCGCGTGCGCATGCGGTACCTCCATGATGCCGCTCGGCGTGTTTCCACAGAGCGTCGTGGCGCCCACCGCGCCGGCAGCGCCCGAGACGCCCGTGCTCGACAAGTCGACAGAAGATCAAACCGACCGCGTCTTGTACAAGATCGAAGCGGCAATGGAGAAGTTCCGCGAGCTCGCCGAGATGGTACAGACCATGAGCGTGCAGCACGAGGCGTCGCTCATGTCCAAGCTCGCGATCCCGCAGACCGCCGTGCAAACCATGGTCTCGAGTATCCACTCGGCGGCCGCCGCCGCCACCGCCGCCGCGATCGCGCAAGAACGGGGTGGTCTCTCCCGGGGCACGGGCCCGGGTTACTCGTTCTCGAGCGAGCAGCGCACAAAACTGCAGATCTGGTACTACTCGTACCCGCGGCCGCTGGCCGACGAGCTCGAGCTCATGGCGCAGATCTTGTCGCTGCCACCGTACCACAGCCTCGCGCGTGCCCCGGTGCACCCGACCCACGTCCGGGATTGGTTCAAGCGCCGGCGATTCCGCGAGCGCATGCGCCACGTCATGGAAGTGCTCGAGGCCGGAACGCTGTCGCTGACGAGCGCCGAGGCTGAGGTGCACGCCAAGATTGAGCTGCGCATCCAGACACTGCGCGAAGCCGTCAAGCCCGAAGAGCTCGTACACCCTTGTGCTGTATGTATCCCAATAGCTCATCATCCATCTGCGTGCGATAGATGCGGGAAGCGGCGCGGGCCAACAGCGCGACGTACGTGGCGGTTGCGTCGTCCTTTGGGAAGAAGCGCAACTTGGATCAGTTCCTCTCAATGGCGCAGCAGCTCGGCCAGCCCACGCTCGTGCTCGAGGCGCCCGTTGCGGCAGTCGTCAAGAAGCCGCGCGCCGGCATTCTGGGCGACCCGATGGAGGTCGAGGACGCCGTTGTCGTCAAAGTCGCGAGTCGCGTTGAGGTCCAAGCGATCCAGAACCGCCTCCAAGCGCTGCTGCAGCTGCCCAAGACGACCTCCAACACAAGCGGCATCCAGCAGGTCATGGACCTTCTCCGGTCGATGGAGATTACGAACGAGGTTCGCATCTCGACCAACCTTGTGGCCGACCTCAAGACCGTGCTCAAGATCTACAAGAAGCCGTCGCTGCTCCGGCGGACGACCGAAGCGCTCATGGAGGCCCTCGGGCAGCCCGTCGACGTCAAGAAGAAGAAGCGATATGCAGCAGGCGCCGACGTTCTGGGGCACGCGCCCGCCTCGGTCGACGAGTACGATGACGCGCCGGCCGAAGCACATGGCCACGACGACGCAGACAGCGAGGACGACCAACCGATTCTCAAGCAAGCCAAGAGTGCGAGCAGTAGCACCAGTCGTCGGAAGAAGACAGGTGCCAAGCTCCACCGCCCGATGAAGTTTTCCATGAAGCAAGTCGAGGCGCTCGAAGCGTGGTTCCAAAAGACCTTCAAGCCGTCCGTGCCCGAGATGGAAGAGTACCTCGGTCGACTCAATGGGGCGCCGCTTCGAGACCCGCTCCAGACCGTCGACGTGAGCATGACGCAGCTGCGTCGATGGTTCAACAAGCGGCGGTGCCTCCGCCGACCACCGTTCGCGCTCATGACCAAGGGCGATGAGAAGGACGCGACGAGCAGCCAGAGCCACGACGAAGAAGACGAGGAAGACGACATGGACGACATGGACGACGAGGACATGGCGAGCGAAGAGGAAGCGCGCGCACCGCTGCCACCGCCGTCGCCGTCACCACCGCCGCCGCCGCCGATGCCACCGACGTCGATTCCTCTGCCTCGCGAAGGCTCCGACTCGAGCTCGGATAGCAACGATACCAACGACAGCGATGACGACTCGAGCGACTCGTGAGCGCCGTCTGTACATACGAGCTTGGCCAAGGGCAATAACATATTAAAGAGTTTCTACAAGTACTTGGCGCTCGAATACTCTTGCGGCGATCTCAAGTTCAAGGGTTGGGGTCTCTGCTATCCCTGGTGCCCTTGATACCATGACGCCCGTCGCACGATCAACAAGGAGCGTTTATATCTCGGTTCGCGATCTTCTCGTGCTCGATTGCTGCTAAGTCGTGCATCACTGGAGGTCGTTTCCGGGCGCCACGTCATTCACCTATCTATTGTATGGCATACAAAGAAGAGGTCAGCGGGCAAGGTTGAGCTTGTTTTTGTATACCATACAAATCGACAGGTATTACTCGATCGGGCAGGACTTCTGCGGACGGGACACGCGATCTAGCACCTTCCTCGACCATCGTCGAGATGCAGCAGCGGAAGCTCGGTACCCAAGGTCTTAGCGTCTCGGCCATCGGCCTTGGCGCCATGGGCATGACGGCCTTCTACGGCGACTTTGACCGCGAAGCCGCCGAAGAGACCAACATCGAGACCATTGGCAAGGCGCTCGAGCTCGGTGTCAACATGATCGACACGGCGTGGATCTACCAGTCGTTCGGGATTGACGGCAAGCCCAACGTCACCAATGAGGCGCTCGTGGGCAAGGCCATCAAGCGCTTTGGCCGCGACAAGTTTGTCATTGCGACCAAGTTTGGGCCAGGCATTGCCGCCGACGGCAAGAGCTTTGTGAGCGGCAAGCCCGCGCACATTCGCGAGCAGCTCGCGCAGTCGTTGGAGCGTCTCGGCGTCGACTCGGTCGACCTCTACTACATGCACCGCATGGACCCGTCGACGCCAATCGAGGAGACCATGCAGTGCCTCAAGGAGCTCGTCCTCGAAGGCAAGATCAAGTACGTTGGTCTGTCCGAGTGCTCGAGCGACGAGCTACGCCGCGCCCACGCCGTGCACCCGGTCTCGGCCATCCAGATGGAGTGGTCGCTCACGACGCGCGACCTCGAGGCGACTGTCGTCAAGACGGCGCGGGAGCTCGGCGTTGGCATCGTGGCCTACTCGCCGCTCGGCCGCGGCCTCTTGACGGGCACGATCACGGCGCTGGCGGATCTCTCGGAGAAGGACCGCCGCCTCCACATGCCTCGGTTCCGCAACGGCAACTTTGAGAAGAACGTGCCCAGCTCCTTCTTCGACCTGGCGGCGCGCAAGCATGTGACGCCGGCGCAGCTCGCGCTCGCGTGGGTGCTTCACCGCGGCGAAGACGTCGTTCCGATTCCTGGCACCAAGTGCGCGACGCGTCTGGCCGAGAACGCTGGCGCGGCGGCCATCCAGCTCTCGGGCACCGAGCTCGATGAGATCGAGCGAGCGATTCCGGGCGCCGCCGGTGACCGCTACGACGAAGCCGGCATGCAGGCCGCGTTCAACGCCCGTGAGCTCTAATCCCTCTAACATGGTCCTTGTGATGAGATGCGCGCGTCGGTGGAGCAACCTCGGGTTCGTCGGCTACCGGGTGCGTACTCGGAGCTGCAGCGCGACAGTCAAAGTAGCCAGCTACCACCTGCAGAGATCGGATCGAAATTGCCTCCGAAGGTGTCCGAGAAGGTAAAGGTACTCGGGTAACGGGGCGGACGACCACTGTGTTTCGTTTTCTGTGGAGCTGGCCAGTGCGGAAGGAGTGCCACTCGCCTTGTCGCTGGCCTTGGCCTTGGCCTTGGGTCGTGGACTGGCGTTGGAGCGAATCTCTCCATCTACTGATATCGATATACGCCGCGTAATGAATTCATATCCGAGCTTCCTGGCTACCGCACTGCCAACAATCAACCACGCACGAGCTTGCTTGTGGTCGATGCAAAGGTCGAAATCGGTCGCACGGCCGCGTTTCCGTCGTCGCCGGACGAGATGTAGCGACGTGGCTACTCGTGTTCCATGGCCATCATCGCCATCGCGTGGCATATCGAGAGGGCTTGCTTACTCAACGCCCGAGCGCCAGTTCTTCTGCGTACGCTCAGATCGCCGAGCTCGGAGCCACGTCACGTGCGCATGCAGAGGTGGCAGTGCCTCAGATCTTAGCGGAGTGTCTGATCATCATCTGCTGCAATTATATGGGACGATATTTCGTTATGTCGCTGCGATATGTATGTTGCGGAACTCGGGCTTGCAGCAATCCTGAAGTTTACGCTCTCTCTTACTGAACTGGAGGAGGAGGAGGGAGGAACCAGCAAGCGAGGGGGCGCGTGAGGCCCTCGACCGGTCGCTCCTGGGACTGCGTTTCGAATCGCCGGCGAGAAATGGCGTGGATTCGATATCTTTGGGCAAGCACCAATCCGATTGCAGGATTGCCTTTCGATATTTTATCATGGACCAATCAGATGCGAGGATATTCGAGAGCGCGTGTCGGGCGGAGGTTAGCTCATTCGACAAGACGCGCTGTCCATGCCACTGCTCCCGTTCCTCCAGGACGTCGTCGACGCTGCGTGCCCGAGCAACGGCCTGCGCAAGGAAGTCGCAGTGCTGCAGGCGCACCTCATGGCCAAGACGGCCGAGTGCCACAGTCTCTCGCGCACGGTCACGCAGCTCGAGGAGGCGCTGGCGCGCCGCACCGACGAGTACGACGCCGTGCTCCAAGCACTCACACGCGCCCAGTGCGTAATTCGCGGCTTCCGCGCCGACACAGACAAGTACCTTGAAGCGGTCGAGGCGAGCCGCCGCGTTGTCAAGCGCCTCGAAGCCGACCTGCAGGTGGAGCATGCGTTAAACCTCGAAGCCAAGATCTCGCGCATGTCGCTCGAGCTGCAGATGATCCGCCACAGGAATCAGACCGACGAGATCATTCACGGTCTCGAGTCACAGCTGCGCTTGGCGCGCAACACGGTCAATATGTGTGCGCAGCGAGAAGCCGACGCGGCGGACGAGCTCGAAGCCGAGTCTGGCGCCCTGCAAGCCCGCGTGCTGCGATACCTCAAAGACGCACCACGAAGCAGCGTCGGCAGCACCCAAGCGGCGGATGACGATGAAGACGATTTTTTCGATGGCGATGACGACAGCTCCAGTGACGAGGACGAAGATGATGACACGCCGATCGTCCGGCCACGGTCCGGGTCTGCTTGTGAGCTCGACCGGCGACGACCGACGACGATGGGACAGCTCCTCGCGTCGCTTCGGCCCTCGCACCGCACCTCCACAGGCTCCATCGCTCGCCTCGTCAAGAAGCCGAGTCTCTCCAAATGCAACGCGCACAGCCGCGTCTTCTCCAAGGACCGAGTCACGCGCTGGCGTCTCTGTCAAGTTGTGTCCCCTAGCGTCAGTTCCAAAGCCGTATTTGCGTCCTACACGCCGTAGAGTACACAGCGCAATCGTAGCGTATTTACCATCGTTGTCATCCCTGCCTTGCGCATGCCAGTGTTTGGATTCCTGCGACGAGCAAAGCGCATGCCATGCAAAAGCATACACTGTTTCTACGAAAAAAATATGCAAACACTGTTTGGACGCGACCACACGTGAACATACCGACCGCCATGCCCACACAGCCCAGATGTCGTCTGTCGCACGGGCCTCATTGTACATTATGACCCTGGCGACCGTACGTTGCATGCAAGGGTGTCCATTGATGCCGCCAGGTAGACATCATACATCACCAAGCGACGCAGCAATAAGATCTATAGCGAACTCATTGCGATCTTGGATACCGATACGGCCAATGTATACATTAAACGATATGCTTAGGCGCGGCCCTGAAACGTGCTGGCCATCTCGGCGTCGGCGTAGCGACCGCCGACTTGCTCCGGAATCGACTGCTCGATCGCGACGATCTCGTCCGGCGTCAACTGCACCGTCGCCGCGCCAGCGTTCTCGATCAAGCGGGCCTGACTCTTCGTGCCCGGAATCGGCACCACATCGTCGCCCCTAAAACAAGGCAGTGTGAGCTATAGTACCGAGCAATGATGGGTGGGATGCACCGGTGGAGGACCCAAGCGAGGGCCAGCTGCGCGGGCGTGACGCCCTTGGCCTTGGCAAGGTCAAAGAATCGGTGGCAATGTTCTTGGAGAGGTTCTCCGCGGCGAAGCGAGGGTTGCCCTTGCGCCAGTCCTTGGCGTCGAGCTCTTCCGCCGACGCAATCGCCCCGGTCAAGAGGCCGCGGCCGAGCGGCGAGTAGGCCACGATGCCGACGCCGAGCTCCCGCGCCGTCTTGGCGACCGAGTCTTCAATATCGCGCGAGTTCAACGACCACTCCATCTGGATGGCCGAGACCGGGTGCACAGCGTGGGCGCGACGCAGCTCGCTCGACGTACACTCGGACAGACCAACGTACTTGATCTTGCCTTCGTGGACGAGCTCCTTGAGGCACTGCATGGTCTCCTCAATTGGCGTCGACGGGTCCATGCGGTGCATGTAGTAGAGATCGACCGAGTCGACGCCGAGACGCTCCAAGGACTGCGCGAGCTGCTCGCGAATGAAGGCCGGCTTGCCGCTGATGAAGCGCTGGCCGTTGGCAACACCGAGGCCAAACTTGGTCGCAATGACAAACTTGTCGCGACCAAAGCGCTTGATGGCCTTGCCCACGAGCGCCTCATTGGTGACGTTGGGCTTGCCGTCGACACCGAAGGACTGGTAGATCCACGCAGTATCCAAAAAGTTGATACCGAGCTCGAGCGCCTTGCCAATCGTCGCGATGCTGGGCTCTTCGGCGGCTTCGCGGTCAAACTCGCCGTAGAAGGCGGTCATGCCCATCGTGCCAAGGCCGATCTTGGAGACGGTGAGGCCTTGGCTACCGAGCTTGCGTTGCTGCATCTTGAGGAGTTTGGTGGTCGTTGTCGACGGCGAATGGAAAAATGAGAGAAAGGTGCGACGGACTAGTCGTGGCCGCACGCTGAAATCGTCCCGCTTCGCGAATCTTGCAGGTTGAAGCTCTTGCGTAGTAAAGCTTGGTATTTGTATGGAATACAAACGTCAAATCAGCGCATGAGTAGTATACCTACGTATTTGTATGCAATAGAATACCCAAGCTTATTACGTGTCAAGTGGACAGCTGGCCCGATATCAGATTGCCCTTTGCCGTGTGCAGAAACCGACCAATCAAATGCGAGAAGGCTCGCTGACGCCAGGTCCAGCGGCGCCCGCGAGCTGCTACCGCGTGCATTGCCCCATGCGACCTACCAAATCTACAGTACTAAGATTTCAAACCTTAGTCCTTGAATGTTAACAAGACTAACGTATAGCTCTCTTGCGCAAGCGGGTCCATGGCACCGCTTGGTGAGATTTCGACTTGACGGGGCCTCCCAGCAAAGCACCGTTCAGCCGCACATGAACTTTTGATAATTACGATGCTGCTGCCTGGACGTGACTATTGACGTGGCATCGCCTCCTGCAAGCGTCACTTCGTCACTGGGCTTTTGTATCGTATACTTGATCCTAGATGTACTACTCAAAGCAACTGTGCACCTTCCGCGACGTCGTCTGGTTCGGCGCTGTTCCCGTGCACCTGACCGATCATTTTCTGTTTCTCGATCCAACACAACCATGCAGCAGCGGAAGCTCGGTACTCAAGGTCTTAGTGTCTCGGCCATCGGCCTTGGCGCCATGGGCATGACGGCCTTCTACGGCGACTTTGACCGCGAAGCCGCCGAAGAGACCAACATCGAGACCATCGGCAAGGCGCTCGAGCTCGGTATCAACTTCTTGGATACTGCGTGGATCTACCAGTCGTTTGGGATTGACGGCAAGCCCAACGTCACCAATGAGGCGCTCGTGGGCAGGGCCATCAAGCGCTTTGGTCGCGACAAGTTTATCGTTGCAACGAAATTCGGACTTGGCGTCGACGCCAATGGTCAGCGCTTCATCAGCGGCAAGCCGGCCTTTATTCGCGAGCAGCTTGCGCAGTCGTTGGAGCGTCTCGGCGTCGACTCGGTCGACCTCTACTACATGCACCGCATGGACCCGTCGACACCAATTGAGGAGACCATGCAGTGCCTCAAGGAGCTCGTCCACGAAGGCAAGATCAAGTACGTTGGTCTGTCCGAGTGTACGTCGAGCGAGCTGCGCCGCGCCCACGCTGTGCACCCGGTCTCAGCCATCCAGATGGAGTGGTCCCTCAACACCCGTGACATTGAAGACTCGGTCGTCAAGACGGCGCGGGAGCTCGGCGTCGGCATCGTGGCCTACTCGCCGCTCGGCCGCGGCCTCTTGACGGGAGCGATTGCGTCGACCAACGATATCTCGGAGAAGGACATGCGCCGCCGCAACCCGCGCTTCGCCGATGGGAACCTCGAGCACAACAAGGCAACCCAGCTCTTTGAGCTTGCCAAGGCCAAGGGCGTCACGCCCGCGCAGCTGGCCCTCGCCTGGGTCCTCCACCGGTATCTTGGCCTCGTATGCACTGGGCTTGGTCACTCATCGATTTGATAGCGGCGACGACGTCGTGCCGATTCCTGGCACGAAGAGCCCCGCGCGTCTCATCGAGAACGCGGGCGCGGCAGCGATCCAGCTCTCGACGGCCGAGTTGGCCGAGATCGAGGCGGCGATTCCCAAGATGGCGGGCGACCGCACTGATGCGGCGACGCTGGAAAGCAACTATGGTGCGCGCGAGTAAGAATTAGCCTGCCATTGATAAGTTTTGGTGTTTCGCCTCGTTTCGCTTCGCGCTAGAAGAACTCAAAAGATACATTCAAGAAGTTTACAAAAGGACAATGAGGGCGTCGACATTTAGCCTTGGAGGCACTGCGAGTAGTAGTCGTTGTGCTTGACGCACTTCCAGCCCGCGCTCTTGCAGCAGACGCCGAACGGCCAGTTCTGACCGTTGCACTGGCTCCAGTTCTCGGCACACACCTTGCTGTTGTCGGTCGCCGGCGTCACCGACGGTGTCACCGATGGTGTCACGGACGGCGTCGCGGATGGCGCGCCAAACACACAGCCCTTGGGACCGCCCGGACGCAGCACCTGGCACACGCCGTCTGACGGCGCGACGCAGTTGCCGTTGGCAAAGCTCGGGATGCCGGCCACGCAGCTCTGCACGGCCTTGTCGCCCTTCTTGGGACACTGGTCGCCCGCGTCGCCGCACGATCGCACCCTTGACGCAGTACGTGGCGTCGCCCTGGACACTGACGTTGGCGCAGGCTGTCGGCGACATCGACGGTCTCAGCGGCGGCGACCTGGACCTCGGCCTTGACCGGCGCAAACGTGCAGCCGAACGCACCCGACTTGAGCTTGACGCACTTGGCGTCACGGGGCGCCGCGCACGACCCGCTCACGAAGCTCGGGATGTTGCTCACGCAGTTGGCGACGACCGGGTCGCCCTTCTTGGGACACGCGCCGCTGCCGTCCGTGGAGCCGGAACAGATCGGCCCCGTGATGCAGTATGTGCCGTCGCCCTCCACGCTCACGTTGGTGCAGCCGGCCGGCGTCGTCACGGGCGTCGGTGCGGCACTAAAGACGCACCCACGGGCGCCGGACGCGATCGTCTGGCACACGGGCATCGACGGGGCGCCACGCAGCTTCCGCCGTTGGTGGAGCTCTTGAGGTTGGGGAGGCAGTCGGCGACGGCCTTGTCGCCCTTCTTGGGACACTTGTCGCCGTTGCCGCCGCAGATCGGACCGTCGATGCAGTACGTGGCGTCGCCCTGGACGCTCACGTTGGTGCAGGCAGCTTCGGCGTCGTGGTGGCGGTGGTGGCGGTGGTGGTGGTGCTCGGACGCCATCGCAGCCGCGAGCAAGACGATGAGGTAGCGGAACTGCATCTTGATGAGGGTGGGAAGCACGAAGCAAATATGAAAGTGGGAAAGTGCGACCAGCGACGCGCTGTCTGAGGACGCTTGGGATAAGCATCGAAATCGATGGATATACTGTAGTGGTGAAAGAAAGGGTTATTCTTCTAGATGCCTCGAACTGGATCGGACTAGGGCGCCCAGTGGTGCAGACTGCACCACTGGACCGAGAGTCAATGCACGCTTAACTCGCGATCTCGACAACTTCGTCGCACGTCGCGGGGTTCGAAGCTATCGCCGTGTCTATAGAATCGGTGCAATCGCTCAGGACTACCGGTCCCGATATGCGCAGACGTTTCGCTGGAAGGGTCACGGTGCGACAGATGTCTATTGGCCGAGTCCCATCCAGAGCCCTCAAGGCTTGACGAGGGGAAGCAAGCGATCGGCTTTATCGCTGCAAGGAGACGTCAGGTAATACATGTATTGACGTCTGTTGTCCACAGGGAGAAGACGGACGTTGTGAGTAACATGGTTGGCATCTCGGTCCGAGTGCTGCGTCCGACATAAAATACCCATATCCAGCACCTTCGTAAGCCCTCGGTTTAGTGACGTAGGACTGAGTTTCGACCATATTCAATACAACGATATACCTCATCGAATTTTGAAGTCGTTCAAGCGAGGGGACAACGCAAGATGCGAAACAAAGATCCCAGTCGTTGCACTTTGCATTTGGCGCGTTGACATGCACGTCGTCTTGCGGCTTCTGATGTGTCTGACGGCGCTAAGCGTCGCCGCGAACTACCAGCCACCGCCGCTTGACGATGTGATCGCGGCCGACGCCTGCGGCAACGCCACGGCGGGCTACCTACCGTCGCTTCAAGTCGGGAGCTTTGCGCGCAGTGCGTATTTTGATTGCTTTCGACGCCACGACCAAGTCTTTGCGTTCGTGTCGGCCATGCTAACGCGCGTGCCCGGCCTCACGACGACCAATTTTACCATCGGTCAAACGCTGCAAGGTATGCTTGCGATGCCAGATGCCTGGCAGCTCATTTGTTGCTTTAGGACGGGCCATGCCAGCCTATACGTTTTCGCTGTCGCCGTCGCCGCCCAAGAAGCTCGTGTACATCCAAGCGCTGCAGCACGCTCGCGAGTGGGTCGCAACCACGTCGACGGTTTACGCTCTCGCGCGCGTGCTCGACGACGTCGTCGCTCAAAACAGACGGTGCTGGCGGTACCTCCTCCCGAGTCTCGACCTTATCTCATAGCTAACGGTGGTAATAATAGCTCCTCAAGGTGTACGAGTGGTGCATCGTGCCCATTGTCAACGTCGATGGCTACGTGGCCACGTGGAACGGCGATCGATACCACCGCAAGAACATGCGACCGTTCAACGAGCCCAACGCCTCGTCGCTCGCGTTTGGCGTCGACCTCAACCGCAACTTTGGCCCCAGTACGTCGTTCAGGGCCGAGGCAGACGAGACCACAGAGGTGTACCCTGGCACCGCGCCGTATAGCGAGCCAGAGACACTGGCTATTCACACGTGGCTGCAAGCGCGCGAGCCACAGAGCATCGTTGGCGCCTTGGACGTGCACACGTACGGCGGCTGGGTCCTCTCTCCGTTTGGGCACCAGGACGACGAGCCGTCACCGCCGTTTGGCAACGCGCTCGCGACGCTTGCCAACGTGACGCGCCGCGCCATGGGGCCAACGTATCTGAACCAGCGCTCGGTGCAGCTGTACCCGGTCTACGGCGGGTTTGGCGACTACATGTACCTTCTCTACGGCGCGCCGGCGCTCATTATCGAAATGGACGGCCACGACTTTCGCGCGCCATCGTCTGTGATCCGGCCGCGCGGCGACGAGCTCTACCGAGGTGTGATCACGTACGTACAGGCGCTGGCGACGTGGGTAAATGACGCCAAGCCGAC